TGTCCCAGGTAAGCGATAATTGTCCCAGGTAAGGGATATTTGTCCCAGGTAAGCGATAATTGTCCCAGGTAAGCGATAATGGTCCCAGGTAATTGATATTTGTCCCAGGTAAGCGATAATTATCCCAGGTAGGCGATAGTTGTTCAGGTAAGCGATAATGGTCCCAGGTAAGGGATATTTGTCTCAGGTAAGCGATAATTGTCCCAGGTAAGCGATAATTGTCCCAGGTAATATACAACTATCCTAAGTAATCGATAACTGCCCCAGGTAAATGACAAATGCCATCAGAGAGGCTGCCATATTAAATGAATCAAGCAATGATTGTAAATCTGCAACAGTGACGAGACTACACGAATTTAACATCAAAAGGGGTTAAGCCAAACAAGAGCGCTACACAGAGTTAATAGAAGAATATTTCATCAGCACAGAACTGGTGTCATTAGCCGCTACACTCTAACGGAGATACTGAAGAAGGGATTTGAGCACTTATGGACCGGATGGTTGATGTGCGATGACGATAATCTGTCGACTAACTACCATTAATTTTCATTTTGGTTGTTATGTAACACGCTGGGGCGGAGAGGTTGTTGGCCTGTTCAAAGTTTAAAGCTCGCAGATTTGCAAAGATCAGTCAGATTTGCAGACCAGTCACATTTGCAGACCAACCTGTTATAGTTATTGTGATTGTATCCATGTTCCTTATACATTTTCCCTTCGTTCATAGTTAAGTCTAATAGAGGAGTAAATGTTTTGCGCTGCATGAAAGTAAGTTGTGAATATATGGTGTTTTGACCATATGGTTATAGACTATCGTCGCTCGGCCCTTGCACTGAACATCACTAACAGTCATTCTGTCCTCTGTTTCCCAGGTCTGTCTCTGGCCGGATAATCGGCGGCGCCTGGTGGTTCTTTGTCTTAATCAGCATCTCCTCGTACACGGCCAACCTGGCAGCCTTCCTGACAGTGGAGAGGATGGTGACGCCCATCGACTCGGCAGATGACTTGGTCAACCACCCCACCATCAAATATGGCGCTCTCAAATCTGGCTCCACGCTACAGTTCTTCACCGTATGAGTTTTAACTTTTTGTCTTTATTGTATTTTAGTTCTTCATTGTGCCAGTGTTATATTTATGTTCTTTAGTGTATCAATGTTATCTTTAGGTCTCTATTGCATCAACATTGATGTAAAATATGTAATTTATCAGTTACAACTTTCTATTCTCAAGTATTTCAGGATCCTCGCTGGTGCTACGGAGTTCGTACACTGCGCTGAGATTCTTCAGACTAAGGCTTGAGTTAGAAGTAAAATGGAGCACTTATGGGTACCTTTGTGCCGTGATGTTGATTTCTTTGTTTAAACCTAAACCTAACTTTTAATTGTTTATTGAGGGAAGTGAAAAGCGTCCTTAACATTTGTTCAGTCAGCAGTAAGTGAAAAAAAAAAGGAGGTTGGGGATGTTTTCACATGCTGCTGGTTGCATTGCTAGGTTACCCTCCTACCATACCGCAGAATCTAATCAGCGTTTGTCGGACTTCTATAGTTAGAGGTGTTCAGATCTGTGTGACATCATTCCCTTTGATATCACTTGGTAGCTTGCCACATCAAGAATTAGTCATAAAACTATCTCAAGTTTCTCCCGCAGACTCATCAAATGTCGCCACTGTTGCCAGCTTGTAGTGCTTGTCAAATAAGCCCACTAGGGAAGTTTGGTCGTTAAACCGTCAGCAGTATTAAATCCTGTATTGGTTACCAAACTGAAATCTTGTGTAGTCATACAAACGTGATCAAGATATAAAGTGGCTTTGAGAGGGGGAGGGGTGATATTTGTGTAAAGAAAATATATATCCCTAAGAGAGAGAGAGAGAGAGAATGAGAGAGAGAGAGAGAGTTGAGTAGTGGGTTTTTTTTTCTGGGTGTGGAGGGGGGGGGGCGTAGTTGGATTTTGGTGTTAGTTGTATTAAGAAAATATATATAACTAAATATGAGAAAGGGTAAAGTGTGGGTGTGTGTGGAGGGGGGGGTGTTGGGGAAGAAAAGGGGAAGGAGCGTGATAGTTGTCAATAGACAGAGAGTTAAGTTGAGGTGTTGGGCGTGGGGGAGGTGGTGTAGGGGATAGCCACAGAGTAATAAGTGAGCAGTGGTAGTGTAGTGGCTAGATGATAGGGCCCAGTTCAATTCCCCCTCCCTCCCAAAATGTTCTTGGCTGCCAGTGGAGCCATTCTTACATTGCTCCCAGGTGGAGTCATTCTTACATTGGTACCTGGTGGAGACATTCTTACATTGGTACCTGGTGGAGTCATTCTTACATTGATACGAGGTGGAGCCATTCTTACATTGGTACCTGGTGGAAACATTCTTACATTGGTACCTGGTGGAGACATTCTTACATTGGTACCTGGTGGAGTCATTCTTACATTGGTACCTGGTGGAGCCATTCTTACATTGGTACCTGGTGGAGACATTCTTACATTGCTCCCAGGTGGAGACATTCTTACATTGGTACCTGGTGGAGACATTCTTACATTGCTCCCAGGTGGAGACATTCTTACATTGGTACCTGGTGGAGCCATTTTTACATTGGTACCAGGTGGACCCATTCTTACATTGATACCTGGTGGAGTCATTTTTACATTGGTGCCTGGTGGAGTCATTCTTACATTGGTACCTGGTGGAGCCATTCTTACATTGCTACCTGGTGGAGTCATTCTTTCATTGGTACCTGGTGGAGCCATTCTTACATTGGTACCTGGTGGAGACATTCTTACATTGATACCTGGTGGAGCCATTCTTACATTGGTACCAGGTGGAGACATTCTTACATTGGTACCAGGTGGAGTCATTCTTACATTGGTACCTGGTGGAGACATTCTTACATTGATACCTGGTGGAGCCATTCTTACATTGGTACCTGGTAGAGCCATTCTTACATTGGTACCTGGTGGAGTCATTCTTACATTGGTACCTGGTGGAGACATTCTTACATTGGTACCTGGTGGAGACATTCTTACATTGCTACCTGGTGGAGACATGCTTACATTGGTACCTGGTGGAGACATTCTTACATTGGTACTTGGTGGAGACATTCTTACATTGCTACCTGGTGGAGACAATCTTACATTGGTACCAGGTGGAGTCATTCTTACATTGGTACCAGGTGGAGTCATTCTTACATTGGTACCTGGTGGAGACATTCTTACATTGGTACCTGGTGGAGCCATTCTTACATTGGTACCTGGTGGAGCCATTCTTACATTGGTACCTGGTGGAGTCAATCTCTACATTGGTACCTGGTGGAGACATTCTTACATTGGTACCTGGTGGAAACATTCTTACATTGCTACCTGGTGGAGACATTCTTACATTGGTACCTGGTGGAGACATTCTTACATTGCTACCTGGTGGAGACATTCTTACATTGGTACCTGGTGGAGACATTCTTACATTGGTACCTGGTGGAGCCATTCTTACATTGGTACCTGGTGGAGTCATTCTTACATTGGTACCTGGTGGAGACATTCTTACATTGGTACCTGGTGGAGTCATTCTTACATTGGTACTTGGTGGAGACATTCTTACATTGCTACCTGGTGGAGACAATCTTACACTGGTACCTGGTGGAGACATTCTTACTTTGGTACCTGGTGGAGCCATTCTTACATTGGTACCTGGTGGAGACATTCTTACATTGGTACCTGGTGGAGACATTCTTACATTGGTACCTGGTGGAGACATTCTTACATTGGTACCTGGTGGAGCCATTCTTACATTGGTACCTGGTGGAGACATTCTTACATTGGTACCTGGTGGAGACCTTCTTACATTGGTACCTGGTGGAGATATTCTTACATTGGTACCTGGTGGAGCCATTCTTACATTGGTACCTGGTGGAGACCTTCTTACATTTGTATCTGGTGGAGACATTCTTACATTGATACCTGGTGGAGCCATTCTTACATTGCTTCCAGGTGGACCCATTCTTACATTGCTCCCTGGTGGCCCCATTCTTACATTGCTCCCAGGTGGCCCCATTCTTACATTGCTCCCAGGTGGACCCATTCTTACATTGCTCCCAGGTGGACCCATTCTTACATTGCTCCCAGGTGGACCCATTCTTACATTGCTCCCAGGTGGACCCATTCTTACATTGCTCCCAGGTGAACCCATTCTTACATTGCTCCCAGGTGGACCCATTCTTACATTGCTCCCAGGTGGACCCATTCTTACATTGCTCCCAGGTGGACCCATTCTTACATTGCTCCCAGGTGGCCCCATTCTTACATTGGTACCAGGTATTATCTGGTAAAGTTCTGGGGGCGGGGTGATTCTAACCCCATCACTGACCGAGTGCTGATGGATCTATAGAAATATCAGTATAAGACCAAATGTGTGAGATGCCACCGGTAGGACCGGGGTCTTCGATAGACCTTTGACAGCAGAACAGTGTGGATATACCATCACAAACACTACATCTCAGAAGTTCAGCTACAAGAGCAAGAAGTCGGCTGCGGTAAACATGGATCGACAATATTAAAGACATTCTATGCCTCCACGGCATGACAATAGCCAGTGGCAGCCAACGTGCACTGGATCGCAAATTAATCCTCCCCGCGGCGCTTAATGGCAGAAGTGGTTTATGATGATGATGATGATTGAATCAGAGAGAACGGTGTTTCTGTGAGTGATTGAGTCAGAGAGAACGCGTGTTTCTGTGAGTGGTTGAGTCAGAGAGAACGTGTGTTTCTGTGAGTGGTTGAATTGGAGAAAGAACATTATGTGAGTGATTAAGTCAGAGAGGGAACGTGTATTTGTGCGGTTGTGCCAGAGAGGGAATATGTGTTTGTGTGGGTGACTGAGAGGGAACATGTGTTTGTGAGGGTGACTGAGAGGGAACATGTGTTTGTGTGGGTGACTGAGCGGGAACGTGTGTTTGTGTGGGTGACTGAGAGGGAATATGTGTTTGTGTGGGTTACTGAGAGGGAACATGTGTTTGTGTGGGTGACTGAGCGGGAACATGTGTTTGTGTGGGTGACTGAGAGGAAACATGTGTTTGTGTGGGTGACTGAGAGGGAACATGTGTTTGTGTGGGTGACTGAGAGGGAACATGTGTTTGTGTGGGTGACTGAGAGTGAACATGTGTTTGTGTGGGTGACTGAGAGGGAACATGTGTTTGTGTGGGTGACTGAGAGGGAACATGTGTTTGTGTGGGTGATTGAATCAGAGAGAATGTGTGTTTGTGTGGGTGATTTAATAAGAGAGAACAAGTGTTTGTGTGAGTTGATGAGTCAGAGAGAGAGAGAGAGAGAGAGAGAGAGAGAGAGAGAGAGAGAGAGAGAGAGAGAGAGAGAGAGAGAGAGAAAGAAAACGTGTGTTTGTGTGAGTGGTTAAGTTAGGGAAGGAACACGTGTTTGTGTGGGTGGTTAAGTTAGAGAAGGAACATGTGTTTGTATGGGTGACTGAGTCAGAAAGGGAATTTTTGTTTACATGTGTTTGCGTGACTGGTTGAGTCAGAGAGAGAACATGTGTTTGTCTGAGTGGTTGAATCAGAGAGGGAGCGTGTTTGTGCGAATACTTAAGTGAGAGAGGGAACGTATGTTTTTTGTGAGTGGTTGAGTCAGAGAGAGAGAGAGAAAACGTGTTTGTGTGTTTGAGTGGTTGAGCCAGAGAGAGAGAGAGAGAGAGAGAGAGAGAGAGAGAGAGAGAGAGAGAGAGAGAGAGAGAGAGAGAGAGAGAGAGAGAGAGAGAACGTACATTTGTTTCAGTAGTTGAGTCAGAGAAAGAAATTGTATATAAATCTAGCTGTAGAAATAACCAGACAAATGATTTATAAATCTAGGTCTAGCGACCTTCACAGATTTAATGTGTTAATCTAGCTTCAGAGATAGTCAACAATTTCTTGTATAAATCTAGGTTTAGAGATAGCCGAATATAACATTTATTTGAAAAACCTCATACCTGTCCATAAATGTACTGATTCAAGTTACGTTGTATTTCCGTGAATGTCTTCTTGTCTCGTAGACTGGCTGTCTTTTCTTGAATGTCTTCTTGTCGTGTAGACCAGTTGTCTTT